TGGACGTGGTCAATGTAAACGTGGTAGGGTCATCATGGAATCACCCAACTAAGTGATTCTGAACGTGATAAAATAGCTGATTTATTCAAATATTTTAATGATTATTGGATGCGTCAAATACCAATATGGAATGTTTTTGACATTCCTGACAGAACTAATAATTTTAGTGAAGGTATGTGAAGCCAAGATATTAGCTGGAACTTGTAACTAGACTGCCGTCTATTTTTAGGATATAACCATAGGCTCAAAAGACGCTTACATAAAACTCATTCGAATATATGTTTGTTCATTGATTCAATTCGAAAAGAAGTGAACACCATTCATGATTTGATTCTTCAAATAAATAGTGGAATGCGACCTCGTGCAAAACGATCTCAATCAAAAATTGCTGAACAACGAACTAAAGAATTATATGATCGGTTCAACAATAAAAAAATTACGGCACAAGAATTATTACAACGACTTTCTTTTTGTATTGCGAATGAAAAATAAAATAAAAACTATTTCGTTGTAATACGTGAAATTACTTGATTAACATTATCATCGAGTGTTATCCATATTTTAGTAAAAGGACATTTAGATAATGGAGAACATTTTTTCGGAGGACCATACCACCAGGGACCATTTCTAAAGGACATTTTTACCAAGGACATTTAATCTGAGGGACATTTTTTCAAGGACGAAAATCCGGGGACATTCCATCAAGGACATTTTCTAAAGGACTTTCTACACTGTTACCTTCAGATTCATTATCTATGATCAGCTGCTTTCACAGCTGTTTAACATATGAAAAAGAACAGACTGGCGCCTAACTTTGCTTTGTATTTTCGATTTTAATTATCTCAAAACGAGCGAGCAATTAAGTACTGTAAAATTTGTCATTTTAGGAAGGTATTTTTGAGAAAACTAAACATGCTTTGAAAACGAACTCAACAGATAGTATCGGTTAGATCTCGATACTAGAATCTCGCGTTTGAACGATAGTTGTTGGAGTTTCTGTTGTCAAGGTAATCGTGAGAGAAAATGACAAATTTCAAAGTAAAAAATAATTATCTCGAAGCTCGAAGACCACTAAGTCCTTAAAGATTCGTTGTTTTTGGACGCAATTTGTAAGGAAACGGAACATGTTTCCACAGATTTGAAAAGAAAAGGTATCAATTTCATCTCGATATTTTTACCTCGCGTTTGAACGAATATTTTCTGACTTTCCGTTCTTGAGATTATTCGAAAAGAAAATGACAACTTTTATGCGTACGTCGAGAAAGTAAAAGAACTAGATGGTATTCGAGTTTCGACTCGAATACGAAATGCGGTGCGAAGCACAAATTCGAATTTCGAAAAAACGATTGCTTGTAAAAAATGGATGATCGATTCTCTGATTGATGTCTAGTAGCGTTTTGGTTAAGTTCTCTGCGATGTAATAATAGTCTATGTATGAATCGTTCTTGATGAACGAGGTTTTTTCAAATCTGTATAACTTTCATTGTAATAATTTTATTTTGGTGGGGGAAGGGGGGAACGTAAATACAAAAATTTTGTTCGATTAGTCATCTGATAAAATTCAGAATTGAGCTAAAAAGTGATGATAATACAATTGGTTGTTATGAAGACCTATGAACATTTATTAAAATCTTTTTAGTGCATGTTGCGTGATGATGATTAACTTATTCCCTAGACTGAAAGGCTAGGGTCTAGAAACCATAATTCATCTGTGTCTGTTCGTCCGTCTGTTTGTCTGTCTGTGTGTCTGTCTGTAACAAACGCTTGGCACAAATGACCATCTTTATGGCACAAATGACCATTTCTATGCCGCAAATGATCATTTCCATGGTACAAATGACCATCTCTATGGCACAAATGACAATTTCTATGGCACAAATGACCATTTCCATAGCACAAATGACCATTTCCATGCCATAAATGACCATTTTTATGCCACAAATGGCCATTCCCATGGCACAAATGACCATTTCTATGGCACAAATGACCATTTCTATGGCACAAATGACTATCTTTATGACACAAATGACCATTTTTATGGCACAAATGACCATTTCTATGGCGCAAATGACCATTTGCATGACGCAAATGACCATTTGCAAGACACAAATGACCGTTTCCATGGCACAAATGACCATTTCTATGGCACAAATGGCCATTTCCATGGTACAAATGCCCATTTTTATGGCACAAATGACCATTTTTATGGCACAGATGACCATTTTTATGACACAGCTGGCCATTTCTATGGCGAAAATGGCCATTTTTATGGCACAAATGACCATTTCTATGGTACAAATGATCATTTTCGTGGTAAAAATGAGCATTCTTCTGATATAAAGTGCCATAGTCGTGGTACAAGTAACCATTGTCATGGTAGAAAGTAGCATTAGTCGCGATAGACGTTGCTGTTATCATGGTAGAAAGTACCAGAGTCGTGGTACAAGTAAGCATATTGATGGCAGAAAATACCAAAGTCGTGGTACAAGTGACGATTGTGATGATGCAAAGTATCATTTCTATGGTACAATTGACCGCAGTCATGGTGCAAAGCACCATGTGTCGTGGTACAAATGACCATTTTTATGGTGCAAGTGACCGTTGTGATAGTACAAAGTATCATAATCGTGGTACAAATGACTGTTGCTATAGTGCAAAGTATCGTGAATCGTGGTAAAACTGACCATTTATTTTGACATAATTGATCATTCTTGTAACTCAACTCAGTTTCTACGGTGCAATCAACCATTTCTATGGCACAGTTGATCATTCTTATCTATGGAATGAGCGTGTCTGTGTCACCACTATCTAGATCCATATTAGAAATTACCAGTGCTATGGGATAAATAACCATTGCTAGTTCTTAGAATCAACTAATTCATATGCTTTATCATATACATTGGTATCTTGCAATATTTTATGTCAACTGTTTGAATATATCTTTAGTATGTAATATACAATATTTTGCAAATATCAATGATTTGTCCTAAAGTCATCATTGAACAGAATTCATTTTTATCAAACAACATAAAGACATCCGTGTCATCATTCTGTCAGTCTAGGGCCCAGTAAATCGACTTTCAATGTCGATGAACCTTACTTGTTTGTATTGTTCATTGTTTTTTATTAATGTGATTGAGAGCCTTCTGTTACATGATTAATCCAGATGACAAGTTATTTTTTTTTTGTTAAATTCATTTTAATCGTCTTGAATGTTAAATAAAACGGAACCCGTAAAAGAATTTGGTATCCGTGATGCTTTATTGGTATGCTAACCGAATGTCTGTTAGATGCTTCTACATAGTGTTGTTAGTTGGCTCTCTACCTTTATATTACGAATTAGAATGAGATGATATGTTAATAGAATGCATATTGCAGGTTTGATAATGAAGTACTTGACTTATTTTTAACTATTTGGATAAAAATAAAAGTTTTACATCATTTTTTTTAAATATTAAGAGATGGTTAGATTTTTCAATTTTTTGATACTAAAAAATAAGGAATATTATTTGAAAAGAAAATATTCTAATGTAAATTGTTTGATATATTGTTTCACTATTACTATTATGCGGTTAATTATTTGACTATTACTTTATTAGTAGTGAGAATCATGTTCATGTATATGAATATTTGTGTATTATGAGTTATTGCTTATTCATTGGAAGTGAAAGTTTTCATTTTTTAATTTTAAAAGATGTCACTCGTTTATATATGATAAAATATGGAAGATAATTTTTATATTTAGTTTATGTTTGAGAAAAAAGACTATGGAATCTAAAGTATTTATGTGACAATGATTTAAAATTATGCGTAAACATTTTTTTTTTCATAAATCTAAAGTGTGTTTTACTTAATTATTTATATTAATTGTGACGTAGTTCAGATAAAATGGTCAGTATTTATCTTATTGACTTTGTTCTTTATGAATATTGATTTGGTGTTGCGTGTATATGACTAAATGATTTAAATGGTCGTGGGAAAAGTAATGCCATGAATAAGTATATTCTATTATTAAAAGTGAGGAAACGAAAACGATGGTGTTAAAGAAGAAAAAACAAAATGAATGTTATTATGCGGTTAATTTAGCAAGAAATAAGAACTATAAAGTAAGTAATTAAATATTTGTTGAATAAGTGAATGATCGAATTTTGAATCATGGAATAAAATATTGCTGATTTTGATGGATATAATAATTTTTTCTGAACATCATATGAAATAAGGAGTATATTTAAAGTGTGATTATTGTAACACGTACTTACTATTTAATAGGTATTTAATTAAATAAATTTAAATTTAAAAATTTCAATCGAATGTTAAATGTATCAACATTGAAATAAAAATCTTTGAATCCATAATCAACTATTTTTTTTCCGAGATCAATGGTTTTTGTGCTAGAATATTATTGTATCGAATTGGACAGAGTCATGAAAATCCTCGCATATTATATTTTAAACAACGATCTAAATAATAGATAGCATCATTATTATTATTAGTAACACGATAAGAAATAAATGATCTTGTTGCAACAGCTTGAAGAAATCCGAGTGTCTTCAAAAGTAAATGAAATAAAAAACTAAGTTGTTCAATTTGACATACTGAAACTACTTTAGAACCATCAAAGCCCACTTGTACATTGTCTAGATCAAAAGTATGTAATATAAATGAAATGTTTGAATTTTCTCTCCCAAATATGAATTGAATTCGAAGTTTATGATTTTCTTTCATTGAAAGAACAAATTCGATTAAAATTCCGTGAATATTTTTTTCTTCTAGAATTCTTGATTGAACTTTTCTTTTAAATCGATCAATTGCTTTAATAAACAAAATCCAACTACCACCTAACCAAAAAAAATCTAAATCTTGTGTTGACGTGTTGAATTCATTAATTAGAATACAGTTCAAGACAGCACCACCTAATTAAATTTTTTTTTACAAGTATTATTAAAGTAATAATATGTTCTGGCGAACTTACCAGCCATAACAAACAACGAAAAATTGATATAGTTTTTAATTAAAAAAAAATTGAAACGATTATTTAAATTTATCATAAATTGATGGATATTTTCAACAATAATAGGTTCTTGTTTCAAAGTACCTTCCCGGCATATACGAAATAGTTTCAGTTCTATTGAATTCAAACACCTATGTGCATAAATAGAACAGTAATCGAAGAATGAGAATATTGGCATTGTATATGTTGCAAAATGAGATGAGTATGAAAATAGACGAATGTATGTTTGAAATGATTTACTATTACAGCAATTCATGACTCTTTTTAAAGATTCAGGTGAAAAGCCATTATATATAAAGCGACAATATCGACGATCTGAGGATACTTGAATGTAATGTTCCATAGTCAAACTATAAAAAGCAAATTTTGGTATTGAAAATAATATCCTTTTTTGTTGCATTCGATCGCTAAAATAATGATTGTAAAAATTGATTTTAAAGATTTTTTCGTCTTAAACTATTTTTTTTCTAGTTTACGGAAATACTTGTATAGATCTTGGTAAATTCAAACTAATAATGGTATGTTTGTTTTAGTGTGAAATGTATTATTTTGTGTAATCTTTAAGAGAGTGTCCATAACAGCACCAAGGAATCGAAGCACTCGTCAAGAGTTGATTTTTTGATTTTTTATGTGCATTCGAAAAGACAATGTTTGAAACTAATAATCCTAAATTTTAAACTCGTTTGGACTTTTTCTAGTAAAATTATCCTGGATCCACTATTAGCATCGTCTACGTGGTATCAAGAAAAACAATGATAAATTATCCCATTAATGTCTGATAATATTACACTACTAGTAAGAAGAGGATTTTTTTATGTTATATACCAAATGATAGAGTATGAATAGATGAACAAAATGAGCTATATAAAATATTGTATATTATTCCTTTATTAGGTTAACATGAATGAAAAAAAGTAAGAGATTACTAGCCAATGACGTTAGACTTTTGGAGTTATATCTGCTGTCATTTATCGAAAACATCAGAACTTAGACTGAATTTCTTTATAAGTTGTGTGAGTTTTGATTTTCTACAAAATTATAAAAGAATTAATAAAAAAAAAGGGTGGCATGAATACAAAAAGGGGCATATACTGTCAAAAGTTAGGTAAACAACATCGATGAAAACGACCTTCAGCGTTTTCTAAGGACGTTTACTTATGAAAATTTTCAGTTCCTACGAGTTACAATTCTATCATGGATCGAATGGCATAAACCCTTTCTTCGCAATAAGAAAAAAATTTTTGATCCTCCTAGATTTGTGAGCGGGAAGTACGGAAATTTCGAAAAAAAGTTTTTTTCTTGTCATCGAAATATGTTTAATCAGGAAGCTAGAGGTAAGAATGCTGATCGCAACTATATGTTGTAAGTCCATAACTATCTATGATTTAGTGGTATAGGATCGACATTCGCAGTCATTTTCTCCTAACAAAACTTCCCATGTTCCTATAGAAAAGTGGTCCTTATACTACTACATCACAGTTAATAATAAATATCCAGTATATATTTCTAATCAGCATTCTTACTCCTAGCTTCCTGATTAATCATATTTCGATGACAAGGAAAAAAAAATTTTCCCAAGTTCCCGTACTCCCCCCTCAGGGATCTAGGAGGATCGAAAATTTTTTTCTTATTGCGAAGAAAGGGTTTATGCCATTCGATCGAGGATAGAATTGTAATTCATACAAAATAAAAATTTTCATTAGTGAAGGCCCTTAGAAAACGATCAAAGTTGTTTTCCTCGATGCTATTCACCTAGCTTTTGACAGTATATACCATTTTTCGTATCCATGTCATCTTTTTTTTATAATTTTCTTAGCATTTTGTAGAAAACCAAAACTCACACAACATATAAAAAATTCAGATTGAGTTTTGATGTTTTCGATAAATGGCAGCAGATATACCTCTAAAAGTCTAATGTCATAGGCTAGTAATCTCTTACTTTTTTTTTGATCCATGTTAACCTAGTAAAGGACTGATATACAATATATCATATAGGTCATTTTGTTCATCTATTCATACTCTATCATTTGATATATAACATGAAAAAATTCTCTTCTTTCTAGTAGTTGTAATACTATCAGACATTAATGAAATAATTTATCATTGCTTTTCTTGATACCACGTAGACGATGCTAATAGTGGATCCAGGATAACTTTACTAGAAAAAGTCCAAATAAGCCAAAAATTTAGGATTATTAGTTTCAGACATTGTCATGTCGAATGCATATAAAAATCAAAAATTCAAATTTTGACACGAGCCTCGTATACTGAGGTCATGGTCGATGATGTCATGGAGATTTTTAAAAATAATAACTCATCAGAAAAGGTGTCTTATTTAGATGTATGTTAGAATTAAATTTTAATGAATCATAACTTACTCTCCTAGAAACCACCAAAACTTTCCTTCAGATGACATCGTTGCATTTGATACACATTGAGCAAATGTTAGTGCATCGAAGCCCGTAAGAAATGAAGATAAATGATTCAGTGCAACTAAGGGAATATAATTGAACCAGTTATTACGTTGTGAATTTTTTTTTCTTTGTTGATGAAATGCAATGATCGATTTGTTGCTCGATTTCGTTGAGTATAGACTTTTGTTTTCATTTTCTTGTCATCGAGTAATGTTATAAAGTGCACTCTGAATGAGTATATCTCTTTCATTAATTAGATTCAAATCGACAAATTAGAAATTGAGATTGAAAGAACTGTTTTTTTGTCCTCCGATAACATTTAGTGAGTATATTATGTCATTTAATAATAAATAATGAATTTAAATGAATCAGATCGCGAAATGCGGAACAAAAGGAAACGGTAGTATTAGTTAAATTCGTTAGTAACAGAACTGTATTAAGGTGTGTCGGTATGCATATGAAAATATTTATGAGTGCATTCATGGGTATCGAACATTTTTCTTCAGTCAAAGTCACTTTCTGTCCACCTTCCATCGAACTAGCACATGAAATTCGATAAAAAAAATTTTTTCAAAATGTAATTGGACACCTATGGATGGACACATTTATAATAATAAAAATACAATTAATTAGTAGAATAACAATGTGTTAATCGACTGGTATAACATTTGACAATGTTGTTATCAATTAATAAAAATCTTTGATATAAAACAATTAAATAAATAACTAAATGAATATTTGGAAAAAAAACTACGTAAGTCTAAGATGGATAAGAAATAATTAACAAATGAACAATTTTATTTAGAAAAAGTATTTTCATTCGTTTCGAAATATTAACCGAACGAAGACAAAATAACACAAAGCAAATCTTATAGGAATATATAAAAAAAACTGGTAACAAGAAGTCTTGACTAATATTTTATTGAAGAAATAATTCAAATAATAAAACTAAAATAGCCATTTTACTTTTTATGCTTCGAAATAAAAAAAAATTGCTTTTACCAATTTAAATAAAGATAATCTATTCGATTTTATTTAAAGGTAATTGCTATTTCTACAGATAGATTTAAAGTCTAGGGAGAAGATCTCAATTTCATTATTTATTAAATAATCAATACTGATAATAATAATAACATTGTGAGAAATCTTTCTAACTTTAATTTAAAGTGTTAAATGCATTAGTCTTTGTTAGTCATTATGAATATAATATAAATCAAGGGTTTAAAATAAATTTATTTCGTCAATGTTTTTCGTTTATATGTAATTGTTTATTCGAAAACCTCTCTAATATTATTATAATAAAGATTTTCTTAGGAGTTCTGTTAGTTTCAAATTTCGATTTTAAATCTGAATGTTATCTTATATTATATAAACTCTTAGCAATTCTTACAAAATATTAAAATAATTCTTATATTTTTCATTTATAACAATAAAATATACTTTTTTTCCAGAAGCTTCAAACTCTTTTTAGATGATTTAAATTTTTTTTGCTTAAAAACTTGATCTACTGTAGAAAGTGTAGTCACTTTTCAGAAAAGAACAACGAATTTCTTTATAAAAATTTTTTTGAAAAAGTTTTTATCCGTATGTATTTTGATTAATCAAATATTCGAAAATAGTTTATGAAAAATAGAATTTTTTTTAATAAAAACTGTCTAAAAATTTGTTATTTTTATAATAAAATAAACGTTTGAAAAGAATCGACTTCGATTTTCTGATAAATGCATGAAAAATGATAGTTCTTCAAAGTAAGAATCATTTATTAAAACGATAAATAAATAATAATTATGTATAATGATTTAAAAATATCTTCATCCTATATTTATATATATATATTTATAAAATCATATCTAGACGATGTCGCTAGTCATCGATCGAAATCAAAACCAATATAATTATATTGGAATATATATCTAATATTTTTATTGTAATAGTATTTTTAATTTCGAAAAAATCCAAAGAGAAAATCCATGTAAAAAAAATTAAATTACTTTTAAAAAGATCATTCGAAAGAAACCAATCGAATCTTTCTCCTGTTTTCTTTGTTAACAATACTATGATTTCTCATATATCAAATGCTTCACTCATTATTCTTCATCGTTTTTTTTCCTAAATTTAATTGAAGCGAGATGTTGAGTTAATTGAATTTTGTTTTATTCGAGTAATTATACCAAAAACGGTATTAAATTTGAATGAATACTTATTTTGTTTTGTTTAAGATACTTAAGCATATTATGCAAGAATTTTCTATTTGAATTTCAACAATATCAAATAATAAATGGTGCCAAATATGAATAAAAGAATGTTTAACTTTTAAAATAAAAAAATATTTCGTGAAAGAGAAAGAGCAGCGAATTTAAATTATGATAATATATATGTATCTTGGTTATTTTGTTTTTAGTTTATTAATTAAAATAATATGCTAAACATTAGAGATTTCTATTCAGTGTTTGTCTATCTATTCAGCTAATTTTAGTTGGTTTCATTGATGTTATCAACTGAATTAAAAAAAAGAACATTACTGATCATTTTCTTTTTCTAGTAAATGATCATT